GAACAGCTGAGTCACTGAATGTCTTCAAAAGACGACTTAAAACACACCTTTTCCAGAAATACCTGAATTAGCACTTCTGGCATTATACTTTCTGGCATTCCTTAAAAAAAAAAAAAAAAAAAAGCACTTTTCCAACAGAGTATTAGATCGATGCTATTCATAGCCTTGGTTTTATTGAGCTAGTATCGGGAAAAATTCACTGTGGAGTCTTAAAGCACTTATGTAAGTCGCTCTGGCTAAGGGCGTCTGCCAAATGCTGTAAATGTAAATGTAAATGACAGTAGTTGAGTATGATCCCTGGATGTTGTTTCAAGCTGTTCATGTCATGTCAGGCTCAATGCCCATCTGGCCCAGGTTCGGGTGTCTTTTCCCCATCTGGCTAGTAGGTGTCGCTGGCCGTTCAGTTTGCCCTTGTGTGTTTATCCCTGCTCCACAGACGGCCTCATAGCTCTGTGGGCTGAGAGTGCGACTTTGTGGCAGGTGTGCCTTCAGTATTCATTACTTGTTTATTTTTCCCTAGCGTTTGGTATTATTTTCTATGTTTTGCTTTGTGTCTCTGTTTAAGTTCTACCCTGCCAGTGCCTTGGTTTATCATTTTGTCTGGTGTTCCTAGTCTTTCCTAGTATTGTTTGTCCTCAGTGTTTGTTTATGTTTCCTAGTCTCCAATGCTTGTTCATTGTAATACACCCCACCTGTTCCTTGTTGCTCCAAGTCCTTGTGATTGGTTATTTTGGTAAATGGTAAATGGACTGCATTTATATAGCGCTTTTTTACTACTCTTACGAGTACCAAAGTGCTTTACAGTTATGCCTCACATTCACCATCCACACTCACATCCACACACCGGTGGCAGAGGCTGCCATGCAAGGCGCCAACCAGCTCACCGGGAGCAATTTGGGGTTCAGTGTCTTGCTCAAGGACACTTCGATGGGGTCAGGAGGACCCGGGGCTCAAACCTGCAACTCTCCAGTTGCTGAACGGTAGCACTACCTCCTGCACCACCATCGCCCATTTTGCTTAAGGTTCTCACCTATCCTGCGACATGTCTCATTTATGGTGTATTTAGTGCCTGCTTCCGTTAGTTCCTTGTTGGTTCATTGTGACTGTTTTCCTTGTATGACTGTTACCCTGTGTTCTGCTGATTCCTGGTTAGTAGTATTCCCTGTAATGTATTGTAGTTCCTTCTTGCCTTTAGTATAGTGTTCTTGGTGTTGCTCCCTAACTTAATTGCTGCTTCGTCAGTTGCTTTTTACCCAGGGGCGGATCTAGAAAATTATTCATGGGGTGGCAAGGGGGTGGCATTAAAATTATGAAGGGTGGCAACACTGAAGCAAGCATCCTTGCATGGTTTTTGTGGATTCAAGGAATGCTATTCTTTATTCGGTGTATACACTAGGGTGCACATTTTTACATTGTTCTATAAAAATGAAATAAAGGCTGATTTGTGATTGACTTGAATCTGATATCTGGATTGGAAAGTCAGATAAATTAAATGAGATAGCATGGGCGTAAATTTCATTTAACAGTAGGGGGGGACAAAAAATATAAAATTTCTCATGAGCAATTTTTGAAGGGGACACAAATAATACAGTCAAATTGTACTTATATAGATATGTCCCCACAATGAAAAACTTTGCTTCTATCATTATTATTGTAGCATGGAGACTGCGTCATTATGGTTATTTTCAAAGTTTTTCTCAGGTTCAATGACAAAGCAGATTTTTCTTCAAAACTATTTATTGCATTGTTTGTTATGTTGTTTACAGTCAAGCCATCAACATACAATAAATTTTAAACATGACTGTTTACATGCATAATAGATATTGATTATACAAAAAAAATACAGTGGGGTCAGTTCGGACGTAGCACAGTGCTCATTTAGTAAATGCACAGCTAAACAATATGCTAATTGTGGCCGTTAATGTTAAGTTAACATTATGCCAAGTCGTCACAAATAAAACAATGCATGGGAAACGGCTTTGGCGTGTTAGTTGCAGTGCACTATGCAACAAGCTATTGTAAACAAGCTAACGTTAACTAGATAAGTAATATTTTAATCGCTAATAGGCCTATAGCAGATTCGTGGAAAATAACATCGGTAATCAGCATTTTTGCCGCAACTAATTCATGAATGAGTCTGCATCAACTACATTAAAGAGAATCGCTTTATTTAAAGTGAATAAAATACCCTACTTACTGCAGTCCAACATTAATTGAGCCGCAGCCACACACCTGATTCGTGTGTGTAGAGTAGGTGAGATGACCTGGGAAAGCAGGCAGTTGGCCAAACCACTGTGAGGAAGGGGAGGGGGAACTCAACTGTTTCTAAATGCATTTTTTGCGTTTGTTTTTTTTTTCTTCTTACAGAATTATTTTAGGTATACATACATATATTTTTCATAATAGATAGTGCGATTTTTTTTTTTTATAAATATTTTTTTTTGGGGGGACAAGCCGGACAACCCTCGGATAGGGGGGGACATGTCCCCTCCGTCCCCCCCGGGATTTACGCCCATGTGAGATGGTACGTTAAATAGAACTGATTAGACATACTTGCTGTTTAGTTGTCATATAACTAGCAAGCATCTACCTCAGGCAACACTAAGACATGTTTAATTAAACATTCATTTGTTAAGTATGAAAGTAATTCAGTACCTGGTTTTGTTTCTTAACTCCAGCATATCGATGGACTGGACACGGCGTTGTTGTCATGTGACGCCACTTATCAAAGGTTCGAACAATCTTGAAGATGCAAGCTACTGAACAACATACTTTTGAAAATAGTTTACGGTTAAACTGTTAGTCATTGATATACGCGAAGATATCAAAATTAACTGCTTCGGTTTGTTAAAAATGCCGGAATTTGTCTGTGATGATCCCGCTGGTTGCACTAAATGTCTTTGATTCACTAAAACGAAGCAGTTCATAAGTTGTCGTTTGTTCGGACTACGCTTTAATAGAAAGACGATTTTGTTCTATTATTTACGGGTATATGCTATTTTTATGTCATCATAATAGAGCGTTGCTGCTGTAAATCGGTCGAGGAAACTCTTTTATTTTTAGAACACTGAGATACTAGTGCTGGGGTGGCAAATGGGGTGGCAAGGCTTTTTCTCAGGGTGGCAATTGCCACCCCGTGCCACCCCGGTAGATCCGCCCCTGTTTTTACCCCTCATGATCTCTTATTTTCAGTATCTTCCTTTCTGTTTGTTTTTGTTAATAAATCCATGATTTAACTGAGCCACTATGTGGATCGTCCCTCCTTTCAACATGCCCCACCATAACAGTTCCAGCATGCGTGACCAGATAAATTGTACACCTTGGTTCTGGAGAGATTGGGGAGATAAACTGCACACATTTTGCCCATTTCATATAACATGATTGTATGAAGGCCCAGAGCTGAAGAAATGACTCCTTAATGAGTCTCCAAACTATTATATATGTATTTTTAAAGACTTAACTCTTATTTTAAGTATAACCTCTCAATTGGAACTAGGCCTGGACTAGTGGTTCGAGTCTCCGCCTGGGTTACGTGTGTGGAGTTTGCATGTTCTCCCCGTGTCGTCGTGGGGTTTCCTCCGGGTACTCTGGTTTCCCCCCACAGTCCAGAGACATGCTGAGGCTAATTGGAGTTGCTAAATTGCCCATAGGTGTGCATGTGTGAGTGAATGGAGTGTGAGTGTGCCCTGCGATGGACTGGCCCCCCGTCCTGGGATATTCCCCGCCTTGTGCCTGTGGCTTCCGGGATAGGCTCCGGAACCCCCACGACCCAGAAGGATAAGCGGGTTGGAAAATGGATGGATGGATATATATATACAGTTGAGGCCAAAACTATTAGCCTCCCAGGAATTATGGAACATTTTCCTAAACTTCTCCCCAATGTTTGCAACATTGATGAAACTTGATATAATCAAACATTCACCAGTGCTATTTAGTAGCTTTTGGTACATTTTGTAATATAAAATACATCAGCATAAAAAGACTCCAAGGAACAGGAGAGGGACTATTGTTACTCAGCATGCCAAAGACAAAGGAAATCAGTCTGGAGCTCAGAAAGAAGAGGCTCATGATAAGGGGGAAGGCTACACTCGTTTATATATATATATATATATATATATATATATATAATATAAACGATCCATTTATTTAAAATGGAGGTGAATAATTTTATCACCTGCATGTTTGATTATCCTGGACAGGGCTGACTCTGGCTATAGGTACCATAAGTAGGCAGTTGCTTAGGGCCCCCAAATCACATCCAATGTGAAGAAAGCGAAATGGTCATCAGTTTTCTAGTTAGGGGGGGGGCTTCTAAGCAAAGCTTTGCCTGGAGCCCCTGAACATAGTGCTAAAAACCCAATAAATGTCAGAGTAAATCCATATCGTCTAAGAAAAATGTGTAAATATACTTTAAAAAGAGAGTAAATCCCTCACATTTCTGTATATTACATATAAATTAAATGACTGGACTCTTAGGGGGAGTATAAATCTTAAAAATTCGTCAAATCAATTAGTATCTACCACCCTGAAGCACACATTGGTGGGGGTGTTGTCCAGATTTGTTGTCTTCCTTAGCTTATGTCTTGAGTCACTGTACCCTGTAGTAATGACTCCTTTTAGGGCTGACTCCTCAAAAATCCCAGCCTTTACACTCATGTTCCACACCTGGGTGCTGACTGAGTGTTTTTTCTTTATTCCAGATCACCAGTCCGACCCTGAAGCCGTTTTCACAGCTATGTCTGCATAAAAAGGGGTAATGACTGCTTTGCATATAGTATAGTCATCCTGCTATATTTCTAAGCTTTTACGTTCAAAGGTTACTGAGGCAGTTTCGTCCATTCTGAAAGCCCACAATAGGATCATTTTACTGGGTGTCACGTGATCAGGATATAGGGATTTCAGTTATGCTGTTTCCTCCTACAGGGGCATGTCTTTATGTTTACAAAAAGGTAAGAAAATACCGTACAGCCACAGTGGACACAACACTACAGCCCATGACCTTCTGCAGGTCTAGAAAGTCTCAGACAAAAGTGATATCGAAAGGGGAATCCTTTCAACCCTGACTGAATTCAAATTTTTATTGTATCCCCAAACAATATCTGTTTTGGCCTTTGAATTTACCTGAAGTTAGTATTAGATTGCTTTGTTTGCAAGACCCTTTACTAAAACACCCTTCTGTTACATCCTGCCCATCACATCCACCTGACCCTCCAGTCTCCTCCCTCACGTGGCCCTGATGGGACACACCTGATGCCTCTCATTAGTCTGTGTATAAAAGTACCTGTTTGTACCATCTTCATTAGGCTGGCCTAAACCTTCTTGTTGCATGTTCCCTCTTGGTTTTCGGTCCTCCATTTTGATCCCCCTTGATCCAGTTTATTTCCAGTCTTTGTTTCGTTGAGTTCAATAAAACCCCTTTTCTTTCACCACAACACCTGCTCTTGAGTCATTCGTGGTACAACACCTGCTTCATAGTTAAGTTAACTGGTTATTCAATCTTTGTGAACAAGGCTTTAAGAAAATGTTGAGCAAAGCTGGCAACTTTACTTTTTTGAATGTGTTGTTGAAGATGGTGAGCATTTTCAGATTCCATGCTGTTGCTTTTACTATTATTACTATTATCATCAACATCATCATCATCATCATCATCATCTCCGGCTCCACATGATCTTGTTTTTGTGGCAGTGCAAGTGAAAGGCTTGGAACGACACTTAATTTACATTCTCTTTTTCATGTAACCCAAAAAGGATCATTTAGACACACAAATTGATCAAACCTGGTCTGGACTATGGAAGGAAATGGAAGCACCCAGAGGAAACCTGCATGACAGAGGGAGACCATGAAAACTCCACTGAGCATACTGGAACCCCCAGCCCCGAAAGGGCATAGCAGCAATGCAACCCATTGACCCACCCAAGCTTAAGATTTACAAGTATCCAATATTATTTTGCCTACCTCAATTATTAATTTGTTAAATATACCAATAATGTTGGCTGTTTGTTATCTGTGTATTGTCTGTATATATAATTAGATGACAGTGTCGAAATAATACAGTTCTCACAACCAGATTCCTGCTATTGGAACTCCCATGACGCTACCTCTCATGCAAATGAACTTCCCTGTGCGATCAGTAAAGGGTATCTTACCTTAATTCATTTCTTTAAAAAAGGATGGCACAATATTGTATTTTTAAGCACACAAAATTCTTCACATGCCACAAAAAGCACTTTGTGTTATGCGCACGGAGAAGTGTCAGATTTCTTCGTACCACTAGTCAACAATGGAAAATAAGGAGAAATCAAAGGACGGTGTTAAGTTGCTGGTGGGCATATAGTCTCTTTATCATTTAAACCTCCTTCCTATTTCTTTTGTTCCTGGAGAAGTCCATGCATTTACGGAAAGCAATAGTGTGCCAGGCAAACATAGATACCTCATCATTCTTGAGCTACTTTATAAAAGACAAGAAGTCGTCTGATGTCCCATATGTGCATGTTGTGCAATAAGGGTCCAGAATCTTAGGTGAGTTTAAATACTTTGCTGTCTTTGTACTTCAACTGGTCCTTTAGCAATATATATATCTTTTTGTTTAGCAAATATGTTTATTGTTTAGAGTGCATCAGAATAAAAAAAAAAAATGAAAATTTCCAAATCTACTATCTAACAACCTTATAGTACCAATACATAATGCTCATAATTGATGTTGAACTTATATGTTGTGCTGAATTCACAATGAAACTTGGTAGAACATGATGAAATTGTTCAGGTACAAGTCCTGTTTGCCTAACATCAAGCCTAAATCAAGCACAAAAAGATCCCTAAATCATGGGGCCGGAACTTTGGATGAATTCCTAATCGAACATTAAATTTAGAAACTGTCACTATGGCAACTTCCTATTGTTAGAAGCTGTTTGAAGTAATTTTGAGACTAGTTTTTTGCATCTTTCTTTGTTTTGCAATCATTGTCTGTGCTGGGAGAAGCAAACATGACAAAGACCTTCCAGTCTGTAGTGCTGCTTGTCACAATTGTCACAATTGGAGGTAAAGACATCTCTTCCGCACACCAACACTTCGTGGGCTTTTATACATATGAAGAATTTAACAATGTTACCATGTATTAATGCTAAGATAGCCATTGTGATTTTTTTAACATTCAAAAGAATTAGATGCTTGCATCAAAAAGATGAAAATATTTTGTCTCATTGAACATACATTTCTTTTCAGATAGATATATTCTCAGATACTTCTGTTGTTTTTTTTTAATTATCCTTTCAAAAGGAATCTGTCTTAGTGCAGTAATGTGAAAAGTGAACGCACTGCATTTACATGCTCTGTGAAGATACAACTGTCACGTCTTAAGGTGAGCGAAGGGCAACAAAGACAGAACTGGGGGAGACAGGACTGAGAAACATGTATATACCATAGTAACGAGTGACTGATATAATTGAGGCATTGACATTTACCACTTGAGGATTGGGGATCGTGAACAGGACACACCTGGGAAGCAATGGAAGGGTTCTGCCGGACCTGCAGTGACCCCAGCTGACAATACTAGAGGTTGGACCAGACAGGTTGTGACAGAGCCCCCCCTCCCAAGATTTTGACTTTGGTCATAGGAGACCCTACCACAACCAGGATGGGACAGGCGGGACCAAAGACTGGACAGGACATGGCCAGATCAGAGCACACAGGACAGAGACCAGACCAAGAGGGACAGAGACCAGACCACAACGGACCCAAGAAAACAAGAAATACATAGGACTGGACTGGGTACACTGGGTAACACTGAGCACAAAGAGTGGATTCCAGGTAAGACACGAAGGGCAGAACCACAATACAGGACATACAGCAGGACTAGGGGCATAGAACTGGTAAGGGCAAGAGAACAGATCAGAAAGGCATCATGAGACACCACAAACTCCAAGACAAGTAGATGGACAAGAGAGACTGGTATGGAGAGACAGGCAGAAACACAGGACGTAGGCTGAAGGCAGACGGTGACACGAAAGGGATCCAGGACAGGGAATCAGGCAAGACCAAAGGGAATGGGGAGCGTCTGTGGAGTGTTGGCCATGGCGGGCCAAAAGTCTGGTCACAGGCGGAACAGTGGGACTGGAGGAGATCCAAGGGTTGGAAGGGCCGGAGGGCATCAAAGAGCCAGAGGGCACCAGGGGGCAGCTGGACTGAAGGGAGCTGAGGGGGCAGCCAGACCGGAGGGCACCGAGGGGGCAGCTGGGCCGGAGCTGGAGTGTGCGCCGGGTCCCATACCCTTTACCTATGCAGCAGAGCGGCCCGGGTGGGATGGGGTGCACCTATCTCCCCCTCCAGGAGATGGAGACTCAGACAGCTCCTCCCTTGGGCCCACTCTAAGTCATCTGGAAGGGTATTCTCTGGATGTACCCAATCTAACCTGGTAGCAACCAGGGAGTTGGGGCGGCAGGCTAGCGGTAACCTGCAGGGACTGAGGAGACCGCGGGCGGCGAGCCAGGAGACTGCAACACGGGAGCCGTCAGGACACCAGGAGACGAGGCAGGAGCTGATGGGATGGCAGGAGATGAGCAGGGCACAGCGGGGCAACTGGAGGCAAGCAGGGAGCAGCTGGGGCAACTGGAGGCAAGCAGGGAGCAGCCGGGGCACTGGGAGCGACCACTGACATTCCCTGCAGGACAGCAAACGAAACAGAACTGGCTTTGCAGCTCAGAGCAGTATCCCAACCAGAAGCATGGTCTCACCTGGGTCAGGTTCGGGTGGCACGACTACTGCAGGGCCAGGTGTGGGCAATGTGGCCCTTCCGGGGACGGGAGCCTGGCACTTAGGCAAAGCGGCCCTCTTGGAACTGGGAGCCTGGGCAGCTCTCACTGAGCAGAACTCCGGAGGCACCAGGTCAGGCGGTGCAGCAGCTACTGGCACAACTATGTTCCTCTGCTTCTTCCTCTGGCAACTGGAAATGGCAGCCGGGGCTGTGGCAAGCTGTGGAGAGCCGGCGGGTGGAACTGCAGCGAGCTGTGGGGAGCCAGAGTGCTGAGTCATGACAAGATGCAGGGGGCCGGCAGGCTGAGTGGCCTCATGGTCGACTAGCCTCCACACATCAGCCATTAGCTGCCGGACCTTCTCCCCCTTCTGGAGATACTGATCTGGAGATCTGGGGTGAGTCCAATCAGCACCTCCCCTCGCACAGGAAGAGGGTTCTGGCCTCTGGGATCCTCCATACTGCGGGATTTCTCCTCCATGCCAGCTATTCATCCAATAGGGCAAAGAAGTCCTCTGCTTGCAGGCAAGGTGGTGCCAGTGGATTCCACGGCCCTGTTGCCCTCTTATCCCCCGGATGAAGAGCAGCCTGGAAGGCAAGGGCTGCTGTGGGAGTTCTGTCATTCAGTTGCATCCTAAGGTGAGCATAGGTGGAAGGATCCCAAGAATGCAGCCACGAATGGAGGAAAAAACCACAAAGGGGGCAACAGGGAATAATGACAGAACTGGCGTGACAGGACTGGGTAACACGTATATAACAGACTAACGAGGGACTGATACAATTCAGGTGTTGACGTTTACTATTTGAGAATTGGGGATCACGAACTGGACTCAACTGGGAAGCAAAAGGTGGGCTCCGAAGCACCAGCAGTGACCCTTGCTGGTCATACCGGGAGATGGACCAGATAGGTCGTGACAGCAACCTTTGAGGGAATCAGAAATAATCATAGCTTGTTATTTATTGAATTATATCCATAGCTCCTCAGTGAAGGATAAAACCAACAATATTATTTTTGTAAATGACTTTTTGTGTTAGAACTGGTCTTTCTACTAACCTGAATTACGTTTCCAGGTAAACTATCAACGTGGTTACTTCTAAAAACAATACATTCATCATTTAGTGGTCTTAATTTATGCAATATACGGTATCTATACTATCTTCTTCAGAAACTTATAAGCAGAGGATAATTGGAGGCCAGGTTGTGGTACCCCACTCCATTAAGTATCAGGCATCCATCCAGTATGGCAAGCAGCATTACTGCGGGGGCACCATCATCCAGCCTCAGTGGGTTTTGTCTGCTGCCCACTGCTGGAGGCCGTGAGTACTGCGTGCTTAATATAGACAGACCCACAAAGGGCTTGTTTTGAAAAGGAGGACATATTAATTAAATCCCAGGGGTTTAAAATATCAGTTGGGAGAATTTACCTGCCAGCATCTACAGTGGTCACACAGAATTTGTAAAATAGTGTTAAACAGTGAAAAACTACAGTAGCATATGTTTCTATGCATTTTATAGGAGATACAGTGCTTAGTATGTGACAGAGGAGATTTATTCTGATTATTGACTAACAAAATATTGTATAAAATGATTCTATAACATCTACAAGAGCATTTTCATATAAAAGCACAGAAAAGATACTGACACTGATTTACCTGCATATTTCAAAGGAGTTTTTTGATCAAAGTGGTTCTGGGCGAGCATAACCTTTATGTCGCGGAGGGATTTGAACAAGAGTTCAACGTCTCCAAAATCTTCATTCATAATAACTACAACTACAAAACCTTCAACAACGACATCATGCTCATAAAGGTAAATGGTGCCACACATTGGTTTGGGTTTTGGCCGGATTATGGAAGCTTTCATGATGAGGCTATTATTTTACAGCCAGCATTGCCACCTAGAGGCAGGTGGGGTTATGACAGGATACATTGTCACTGTACTGTGCTCAAAACACAAAATTTTATCCAATATGATTGTGTTTCCTTTATTTGAAATGATTTAACCGCCCTATGTCTACATCATTATTTTGAGAGAGAAGGCCGCCCTGGTGAAATATCTGATAGGCAATAATGACCTGAAAATTAGGCCAAGGAAGTATAGTTTTGATCTGTATGGTGGCACAGTGGTGAGTACTGTTGCTTCACATCTCTGGGATCAGGGTCTGAGTCTCCGACCCTGGCTCTGTGTGTGTGGAGTTTGCTGTTTGTATGTTCTTCCTTGTTGGGGGATTCTCTGGTTTCCCCCCATAGTCCAAAAACATTAATGAGAATAGAGTTGCTGAATGGTTTGTGTGTGTGCCTTGTCCTGGGTTATTCCCTGCCTTGCACCTAGTGATGACCAAATGAAGCTTCATCAACCATATTACCATATTCTATTTTGTTTACCTCAGTGGATGGTGTTCTGGGTTTGCACTGGGGCATGTATTGAGCCCTTTTTTGAATAGGAGAGCACCATCTAGTGGGGTCAGAAAATACAGCAAATGGTTCATGAAGTTTCATTGAACTATCACTACTTGTACCCATAGCATCTGGGATAGACTCTGGCCCTCCACAACCTGCATAGGACAAGTGGGTATAGAAAACAGATGGAAGTATAATCCTTAAAAAAATGGATTGCAAATTATTCTCTTTCCTCATTGTTTTAAGGATGTTGTCACAATAATCTCTCCTTTTGATTCCCACTGGCTGGAATCTAACTGTGTTGCATTTCACTGTCTTTCCCCAGCTTAGTCAGCCTGCTAGGATGAATGCCAACATCGGGCTGGCAACCCTGCCTGGTGCCAACACTCCCCCACTGTCTAGGGGGGCCACCTGCAAAGTGAGCGGCTGGGGAGTGACACACGTGAACAGCTACTACCTCTCAGCAGAGCTACAAGCCGTGAACATAGAATTCATCCCTGATTGCCTAAACTACTACAACACAAGTGTGTCTGAAAATATGCTCTGTGCTGGCTCACGCTCTGGGGGCAAGGACTCCTGCCAGGTAATGACCTGTGGGTGTGAGTACACATCCCCATCCCTGGCTTCCTCATGGCAAACTGAAAAATGCAGCATTTACTGTACTCTAGAGTCTAAGGCAGTGTTCCTCAATCCGGTCCTCAGGGACCCACAGCCAGTCCACATTTTTGCTCCCTCCCAGCTCCTTACCAGGATTCCTCAAAAACGTGGACTGTCTGTGGGCCCCAAAGAACCAGACTGGGAAACACTGGTCTAAGGCAAAGACAAGATCCCTTAGCTGGATTCCATATGGTGAGCAGAGTTAAGGCAAACTGGAACAGGAGTAGAGCTTTATTCTGTTCCTAGATAACTTAATAATCACCAAATACACTGCCTGGCCAAAAAAGTAATCACCATTTGAATTGAACAAATACTTAACAGCCAATGACTGGATCATTATTACAGCTCAGCAACGTTATGCAGGAGTAAAGTCAGCTGAGTACCTGAATCTACTGAATGGCCAGGTTACACCTCCATCCGTCATCAATGGATTTTTTTCTTCCCTGTTGGCATGGGCACATTCCAGGACCAGAATGCCAAGATTCTTTGGGTTTGAATTGTCAGGGTGGTTCAGGGAGCATGAGGAATTATTTTCACACATGACTTGGTCACCACAGAGTTGTGACCTTAACCCCACTGAAGGACTTTGGGATGTGCTGAAGGAGGCTTTATGGAGGTTCAACTCACTTGTCAATACAGGATCTCGGTGAGAAATTAATGCAAATCTGGATGAAAATAAAGGGTGAGATGTTGCATAAGCCTGTGGAAACAATGCCATGACAAATGTGCGCCATAATCAAAGCTAAAGGCGGTCCAACGAAAAATTCAAATGCCAACTTTTTTTTTTGGCCGGATGCTTTTGTGCACAACAGCACAAGCCTAATCACTCCAGCAAGGGCACTGTCATTCTGCTCCTTCTCCCCTTCAGGCTTGGAGGTGCTCTGATTTCTTCCTGTGTGAATAGTCCATACCTAAATTATCGTGACTGTGGGTGTGGCTACCCTACAGTAGACTTCCATTCCTGATAGGTTCTTCCTCCATCATGTGCTTTCTGGAATTTGCTCCAGGCTTCTTGCAACCAAATAGTACAGTGTTTCTGAAGCTATGATAAACACTCCCTTTAGTGGTATGCAAAGGTATTACCCTTTGTGATGTCAGTCATAATGGTGGTATACAGAGAATCTAATATTTTCATGACAGTAGCAGGCTAAACAGCTCAGAAGGCAACAATGAGGATCGGTAAGTCTGCATCACTGGACCGTATGATGATAAACTATCTTTTTCTTCCTTCTATACACCTCCTGGTGGTTTGACTGGAGGCAGGGAAGACACAAACATCTAACATTCAACTTTACTTCTACTGTACAAGCCATCTGTTTCTTGAGCATTAGCTGAGCAAAGCAGGAAAAAAACTTTTGAGTTCAGTCAGAACGATGACATAAAAAGGCATTGTTTAGTAGTGATGGGCAAATGAAGCTTCACGAGCCATTTGCTGTATTTTTTGTAGGAGTTTCATAGGGAGGTATCGTCCTAACTGTTAGACTTTTGCATTTTTGCTCCTGCAGGGAGATTCTGGTGGCCCCCTGATCTGTGATGGCTTCTTCGAAGGTATTGTCTCCTGGGGTATTGGCTGTGGCAATCCCAATTTCCCAGGCATCTACACTAAAGTAAGGAATTACATCCGCTGGATCAACTGGACCATCAGCAGTGAACCATCCAATTGAAATAATACAGAGTGGAGGTACAGTAATGCAGTGGTTCTGAAACAATGGTACCAGTGATGTTTAGCTAGTTCCCTCTAGTGTTATGAGGAGGTATCTTCCTTATTGACGTCGGTGTTAATGTGGTATACGAAGAGGCTTTCTCAGGTGGTACGTGGAATTCAACAAGTGCGAAACACTGCAGTAATGTATTTGACACTGAAAACTTACTTCCTGCCTGACCTCTGTAACTTCCAAAAGATTACGCTCATAATTCCTCAGATGCAAAGAATAACGACGGGATCCACATTATTTTGTTCATATCAGCACAAGTAACACATTCCAGCAGACTGATTTACAGATTGTATTTGCGTATTTTAGGAAGTGTATTTTAATAAAAGGTTTAACGTTTTTTAGTCCTGGCATGGGTGTAAATTACGGGGGGATGAGGAGGTTCTAACACCACCTAATAATCAAAACTGGCCAATACACCCCCACCCCCAATAATCATGTCTCAAAATCATTGGTGAAGATCGCTCCCGCTCCACCCCCTCCCGCCACTCCCAATGTTCAAACCAAAGTGACGCCCATGAGTCCTGCTATTGAAACACCAGTGCTGTGCATGTCGAAATCAGTGTGAGCAATTTCAATGCTATGAACGAAGAAATGGTATTAAGCAACTGAACATTCAACTGCAGGAAGCATGTCATTGTACCACATTAAATACTTGTGACGCGGAAGCTATGAATATACATTGTAATATACAATCTGTATTCTCCAACTGCTTACTGCAACAATGGAATGTAGAAATAGTTCATTTAAAACATTTATTAAGTAAATTTATAAGTTTGTTTTAATAAAAATAAATAAATACATAAATAAAAATTATTTAAAAACAATGGGTCATGGGTTATTCCTTCCTGGGAAATATAGTTCTGGGCCAATGCGACCCTGCACAGAACAAGCGGGTATGAATGGATGGATGGAGGACGGATGGATGAAGGAACTACCGTCCAACTGTTGCCGAACGATTTTTTTGATAAACCTTTTGGGACTGTGCTATAAATGTAAGCTAAATACTATGGAAGCCCGTTTCCGCCAGGTGGTAAAAAAAATATAAGCCACGGAATC